GGAGGGACGGTGCCGTGCTGTTGCTGTTGGGCAACGTGCACGCCGCTGTTGGGGCGCTGAACATTGTCGTCACCGGCAACACATTTAGTGACGCGCTGCTCAGCCCGGAGGGTGGGTTTCCACCGCAAACGAACATCACGATGAGCGGGAACCGCTTCACGGTCACGAGGCTGATCCCTCGGTCGGGTTTGGACATTAGGAGGCCGTCGTGTGTCGCGATGAATGGACTGGCGATCAGCAACGACTCCGCGGTGGTGCTGAGTGGCAATGTGTTTCACGCCGTGGCGGCATCGTCAAGCGTCATTTACTTTGTCGGATCTGCTCTGAGGGTGTTGTGGCACTCCGTGTTTGCGGTGATGGGCAACACGTTTCATGTGGCTGGCGGTAACAGTACGCTGATACATCTTGAGGGGTCTAGCCAGTCATTTTCACTGAGTGTACTGAACAACTCTGCTGTGGTGATCCGAGGCAACGTCGTGGTGGGGGAGTTAGAGCACTTCATGCAATTTCTTTGGGCCTCACGTGTGGAGTCCCAGTCAGCGGTCGTTTTTCAGAGCAACGAGATGCAGAGAAGCTTGGCTGTGTTTTTCTCAAGATCCAGTTACCAAATCTACTACAAATCCTGGCTGCAGTTGGGCGACAACCTCTGCCGTGAATCCCCATCGGAAGACTTTGCCTGCATATCTCCTACGGCGGATCTCCGCGACTCCACGTTGTCTGTTTCTGGCAACCAATTCATTTCCAGCAGGGGTACGACGACAGCGCTGCAGATATATTTAGGTTTCCGCGATCTCACAAACGGAACGATTGTGGCCGCGTGCAACACTGTGAACGGCGAGGAGGAGGCGAACTACGCCATTCCGTCCGTGTACAACGCCACCATCCTGACTTGCAGCGACCCATGCACTCTCGCGGCGTCGTGCTTCCCCGCGTACACGACGACGGCGTCGAGTGATGGCTGCGCCTGCACGTGCGCTGAGGGCGGCCATGGCGATGCGTGCCTGCCCGTTGCTGTCCCCGAGCCACCGAGCACCGACGGCGCCGACGTGTGCGTGCGTGACGTGCGTGTGGATGTGGAGGTGAACGCCGGTCTCGGGACGTCGGTGGCGTGCTACGTTGGTGTGACCTTTGCGGCGGACGTCGTGGTGGACGTGGAGTCGATGTCAGGGAGCGTGCGCAACGTGACGCTGGCGAACTGCACGTTTTTGGGCGGAGCGAGCCTGTACGTTGTTGGGTGGCGGTCCGACCCGCCTGCTGGACAGCGCGTCGATGTGCTGATCAGCGGGCTTGAGTCGCGCTCCGGCGGCGGCGTGCTGGTGGCGAACCGATTTCCGCCGGGCTCGCGCGTCACTGTGGTGGACTCAGTGCTGATCGCAGAGGCGTGTGTTGCGTACCGCGGCGCCTACGGCCTTGGCGACGCCTCCGCGTGCCTCGTGCTGCACAGCGTGAATCTGACTGGGAGCGTGCTGACCATTGCGCGCACGCATGTGGCGGCGGTGTTCCGCGACGCTGTTGGCGTGTTGGTTGTTGGCGGCGTGGCGCTGTCGTCGCGCGGAGCGCTGTACTTGGACGGGCTGTCGGTGCAGACGGCGCTGGGGCTGTGCGTGTCGGTGGAGGGCGGTGTTGCGGCCAGCGGCGGCTCCGTGGTGGCGTTCGTTGACAGCGACTTTCTGCTGTGCAAGCACGCGGTGTCTGTGCGTGGGACTGTGAGCGTGTCGGGCTCCGCAGTGGCGTTTATGCGAAGCGAATTCTTGTTGACGGAGGACTACGCGGTGGCGTTTTATTCGACGGTGAGCCTGGCCGGTGGGTCGATGCTGCTGGCGAAGGACAACGTGCACGACGGCGCCTCGAGGGAGATGCTCTACGCGGCTGGCGCCGTGACCGCTGCTGGGAGCACGCTGAGCTTTGTGCGCAACCGAGCGCTGCTGCCGCGGATGCTGTCGCTGAGCCTGTCGCTTGCGGCTGGGGCGCATTTGAGGGTGGCGTGCAACGACGCGGGTGGCCGTGTCCTGTCGACGGCGGAGGAGTACGCAGCGGCTGGTTTTGGCGACGCTGGGCGCATCGACGTTGCTGGGTGCGACGACTGCGACAGGGATATTTACTGCTACGCGCCCGGGACGGCGTCTGCAAGGATGGAGAACGGTGTGTGCGTGTGCGTGTGCGGCAGCGGCGGGTACGGCGAGGCGTGCGTGCCTGTGGAAGCTCCCGCGCTGCCGCCCGCTGTGGGCACTGCGTCGAGTGTTTTTGTCCGCGAGGGCGTGACGGTGCAGTCGGTGTTCGTTGTGCCTGCCGGTGCGAGCGAGGTGACGCTGCGCCACGTTGTGCTGGACGGCGTGAGTCCTGTGCTCTACGTGCCGTGGATGGCGCGGGACGGCGTGCGGATCGTTGTGCAGAACGTGTCGCTGCTGAACGGCGCCGTGCTGTACGTGATGGGCGGTGGAGCGCTGCGCGGTGCGATGGCGGCGGGGAGCGACGAGAGCGGGCCGGTGGAGCTGTCGGTGTGCGATGTGGAGGCGCTGAACGGTGCGCTTGTGCTGACCGGCACGTTTCCTGCGGGGTCTGTGCTGACGGTGACGGACTCCGTGCTGGTTGCCGCGAGGCCGACGTCGCTTGTGTATCTTCCCGGCTCGCAGTCCTCGCCGTACGCACCGGTGCTGGTGCTGTCGGGCCTGCGTCTTGTGCGGTCCGTGCTGGTTGTGTCCGGCGTGGCCCTCGTGACCGTGATGACTGGTGGGCGGACGGTGGTGGTGGACGGCGCGGTGCTGGAGCTTGTCGGTGGCGGTGTCGCGCTGGACGCGGCTGTGCTCGGTGGCGAAGTTGCGTTGTACGCGAGTGCGCGCGTGGTTGCGTCGGGGGGCGCTGTGCTGCGCGTGTCGGGGAGCCAGGTGTACGCCGCGCATGGGTTGGTGTTCGGCAGCGGGGTGGCGGCCAACGCGTCCGCCGTCGTGGTGAACGACAACGCCGGTGTGCTGACCGATGGCGCGCTGCTGGTGCTGCGGGGGTCGGCGTCGTTTGCGTCCGGGTCGTGGCTGTCGGTGCGCGGCAACAGCATCAGTGGCAGGCTCCTGTCGCTGCCGTCGTACCCGCGCAGTGCGGACCTCGTGCAGAGCACGCTGACGCTCTATGAGAACGCCGGCAGTGGGCCCGTTGTGATGGACGGCACCGTTGCGCTTGGGGGTGCCGGCCGAAATTTCGTCGTGGGGTGCCTGACGCTCAACGGGCAGGCGCTGCAGCCGATGGACTACAGGTCCGCCGGCATCATCGGGGAATTTCGTCCCGTGGCGTGTGGCGTGTGCGATGCCAACGTGCACTGCTTTGGTGCTGCGACGAGGGCGATGTCTGGGTCGTGCCGCTGCCGTTGTGCTGAGGGCGGGTACGGACGCGACTGCCTGCCGGTGTACCTGCCGCACGTGGACGGGTGCAACCGCACGCCCGCTATGCCGCCGCTGAGCCACACGGTGACGCTGACGGAGACGCGCAGCCCGACACCAAAATGGACGCCGAGCCTGAGCACGACGCACTACAGTCCGACGCGGTACGGGCCGACGAAGACCCTGCAGGTGACGGAGACGGTGGCGCTGCCGCCCACGCGGACCCCGACGGCGTCGGTGAGCGGCACGCTGTGGTGGAGCGAGGTGGCGTGCCCGACACTCGCCGTGACGACGACGGCGGCTGGTGGGAGCCTGACGCAGAACGACATTCGCGGCGGTGGGAGCGCCGTCCCGACGCTGCTGATGGTGGCGCTGCCGCCGCCGTTTCGGTGGGCGCGCGACCCGCAGCTCGGCACGCACCTGAGCTTTGTGCCGGTGTCGACGGCACAGCCGCGCGGGTTTGGTGGTCCGTGGGGAGCGATGCTGAGCAACGCGACGTGGATGCGCAACGCGACGAATCCGTCCACCGTCCTGGAGCTGGCTGTGCCCATGCACCGCGGTTACTTCGTTGCTGCCGACGAGACGATAGTGATTCGGTGCGACGCTGTGGCGGTGTTTGGCGGCTGCAAGGGTGTGCTGCTTGGGTCCTTCACAATCAGGTCGAACGTGCTGCCCGCTGCTGCCAACGCCCTCTCGGCGATCACCGGCGTTGTTGCGGGTGCGGCGGCTGTTGCCGTGGTGGTGACCGGCGGGCTCGGCTCCGTCCTGGAGATGCAGGCGCTCGGCGTGTTTGCGAGGATGCCATGCGCCTCGGCGCAGGAGCGTGCGAGCACCGTTGCGCTGCCGTACTTCCTGTCGGTGTTCGCTGCCCTTGACCCGCTGTGGATGGTGGTGGGCAACGCGCTGCTCGCCGCTGTGTTCGGGTGCGTGCACTGCGGTGTGACGGCGGCCTTCCAGCGGTGGCGCGGCGTGGACACGGCGAGTGCGTGGGCGGCGATGCGCTTCCCGAGCCTGACGTACGTCGTGGCGCACGCGATGCATCTCGGCATATTCTTCGGCTCCGTGCTTGCACTGGCGATGCCTGGCGCCCGCGGGCATCACCGCGTGGTTGGTGTCGTTGGCGTGCTGTACGGTGTGGCGTTCCCTGCTGGCGTGTGCTACCTGATTGCTCGCCACGTGGGCGCGAGCTTCACGAGGTACTGGCAGTTTTCGAGGAAACCGCTGCACGAGCGCCTGCTGTACCCCGTCGGGTATTGGCACCCCGCGGCGCAGCAGCGGATGTACGGCGGACTGCTGACGACCATGAGGGGCAGCCGCGTGTACTGGTGCGTGTTCCAGCTGTCGGTGCTGTGCGTGGTGGGCCTGATCGCTGCTGTGCATCCGCCCGTGGGAGACTGCCACGTCCTGTACTTCTGCATGGCTGCTGTGCTGGTTGCGGGCGCGGGCGTGATTGCCTTCACGAACATGATGCGCTCGGCCTTCCTGACGGTGATGCACACTGCGGGCTTTGTGCTCCTTGCGGCGCTGTG